TTCTTCGTCGAATGGATTCCCAACAACATGAAGACGGCGGTTTGCGACATTCCGCCGCGGGGCCTCAAGATAGCCGCCACCTTCATGGCAAACACCACCGCAATTCAGGAAGTTTTCAAGCGCATATCGGAGCAGTTCAGTGCTATGTTCAGGCGCAAGGCTTTTCTTCACTGGTACACGGGCGAGGGCATGGACGAAATGGAATTCACCGAGGCAGACTCAAACATGATAGATCTTATTTCTGAATACCAGCAATATCAAGAAGCTACTGCAGAAGACGAAGACTTTGAGGAAGATTTGGAGGTAGATGCGGACGAACAAGATTAAATGTATTTTTGGTATAAATTTACGTTGCTAAATAAAATGAAATCCTGATATAAAGGATAATTAAAGAACTTTATTAACAAATTTTGTAAAATTTTGAAATTCCAATTTTCCTTATCCTTCTGCCTACTCAGAATATGCTAAAATTTCTCGTAATGAAATTTACCTGTAATGCTGCAAAAAGTTTCTCTTCAAAGATTTTGGGGCGATTTCCTAGTTTCAAAATGTGTGAAAATGGTTTTGTAGAAATTTAATTTGCTCTACCTCTCAATATTTAAGGTCACAAATGGAACGAATCTTCTAAATGTCCCTAAAGATTTGTAAATTAAAAAATTTTTACGCATATTCTCGGCAGGAAATTCGCAGGAATATTGAATTGTGGCGTCTGCGGCACTAGAGGCACCGCACTTTGGTTTTCGGAATATTTTTTTGCACTCTACATCTGGGTAGTACGTCTTAGGGTCGAAATTCGTAGAATTCATAATACCGCTTGTTCTAATATTGGATTTGTTTGCGGGCGCTGGTTGGTGCGGTTGGCATCGGTCTGGGACTTGCTCATAGAATTTGCTCCTATTGGTGCGCGTATGGTAATCTAGAGCTAACTGTCTCCTAACTGGCTCAGCCAAACTAAAGTTGAGCTGATGTACTCTACTTTAGAGATTTCTATGAGTATAATATTTTTGCGTTGCGTCAATAGGGATGTCAAAATATCTGATTCAAAGTTATGATGGAGAATTTTTCATTACGTTTAGCTGGAATATTTGAAATTTTATATTGTGGAATTCTTTTAGCTATATTGTGTATACCAGGTGACAGTTCTTGTATATAGTATGAAAGCGGGTAACTTATAGATTTGAGAAACTTTACAGGTTTAATGTATTGTTCAGCGATAATTATATAGTAATAAAATATATACTTGTGTACGACGACGGAACGACGACAGAACTGCGAAGAACTGCAGAACTTGCACGAGTTGGCCAGGACTGACACAAACCTACTTTTACGATGAACATGGTCTCTTATGTAAATATGTTGATTGCGCACGGAAAAACGCCCGTCTTCTGCGTACCACGTGCCATGGTTCCTTACATAGTAGAAATGTTAAAAACTAGAATATTAGAAACCGTGCAACTCATTAGAAAGAGTTTCGATTGGCCTAGGTCGTTCGCGGATGTTTGAAGCCATGTAACACATTGTCTAATCTGTCTGAAAAGTAACGCAAAGAAACCAGACATTTAAGACGTAGAGGAATCGGTGCGGCTTATGCAAACCCTAGCTCTCGACCTGATGGGGCCAATAAACCGTCCATCAACCCAAGAAAACAGATACAGCTTGACTGCCCAATGCGAGTTCACGCGGACTGAGGCAATGGCAATTCCGGATAAAAAGACAGAAACAGTGGGCCGCAACCTTGTGGAACACGTATTTTGCCGTTATGGCATACTGGAGTCCCTGAAATCAGATCGTGGTACAGAGTTCACATCCTCGCTCATAGAAAATGTCACAAAATTGCTCAAAGTCAATCACATCCTTTGCAGCGCTGGAAACCCTGGAGCTAATGGGAGAATAGAACGATTTCATAAGACGTTCTCTAATATCATGGCCTGCGCCATTGAACAATCTCATTCAGACTGCGAATCCCACATACTCTACGCGCTTTTCGTATTTCGAAACTCGGTACACGCTGCAATACCAGAACCCCCTGCCTATCTGATGTTCGGTCGTCACTTTCGAATGCCTTGGGAAGAAATATTTGATTTGATTTATTCAGTCAAAAAAACAGTAAAAACTGTATGTGACATATGCGGGAGAAGATCATCTGCGTACGTATTCTTGAGTCTCAGAATCCCTTCCCGTCTTTTTAAATATAAATAGTTGAAACATGAGTAAAAGTTTAACATAAATAAATAAAAATAAATTTCAAAAATAATTTTTAGCATGATAAGCAATATTTGAAAAATAGTCATTTTTGTTTCTGAGTTACAATAAACGAATTTGCATCGTTATACGAATTAGTAGTATGATTTTTCTGCATTGCTAACAAAATAGCAGCTCGCCCTTACCTCTACTCTTACCATTACAAGCAAAAGGAGAGTTCAACAAAACGTGCGCATAGTGAAGCTACATTTACGTCCAGAAGCAAAACAAGGGGCCATCTCAGCATTTGCTCAACGGATCAGGGAAACTGGACAAAAACCTGATTGAGATGCGGGTCATTGACTCGGAAGCTGAAGTACATTATTTGTTACAAATATATTAAGTATTTTAAAAAATATACAATACAAACGTAAAATAATTCATTATATATCTCTGTTTTGTTAAAATAAAAAATATTTTTCTTTTTGGCAATCAGTATAGTCTCTAATTGTTTAGAAACAGTTATGCAGTAGAAAATATTTACTTTTAACTTAAATTTGTGAACCGACTTTAATTGTTCAATCTCATCTGGCAGTGCGTTGTAAAGTAACTTACGTGTATTGTATGTGTATTTCTGATAGTGAGCGTTGATAGTGACACTTGATGAACGTGATTTTTACGACGTGTGTTGTAATTATAAATAACAGTATTGCATGAAAATATGTTCCTACAGTTAAGTCACTTATGACAAATATTGCAGATTTGTAAATACATAGGCAAGGCAGTGGTAAGATTCCAAGCTCAATGAAGAGAGGCTTGCAAGGGTAAAGTGGATGACATTTTTTCATTATTCCAATCATTTTCTTTTGCAATCTAAATGTCTGAGTACTACATAATGAGTTTCCCAAGAATTCTATACCGGAGCCGTCCCTTCCGTGCACGGCAGAAGTGCCATACCACGATGTCCTTAAAAGAGGGGCCCAAATTGCTCACGCGCACGCTGCCGAGTGTAACGCTCCGAAAATTTCCAAATACCACCAACATAAAAACTGCCAACGCACACTTCCTACCATCAATACCGGCCAACGCGTTCTCTTACGGCGCCGATACCTCCCAGCGGGCCAAGTGAGAAAACTCGCCACCAAATGGACTGGACATTCAGTCACAAAAGTTAGGTCACCAGTGACATTGAACTTCGTGGACGAAGCCACGGGAAGGAAAATAGATATCCACCATTCAAACCTTTCGCCAATACCCGACTGGTATTACGATCTTCAGCCCGACATCATCTTGCAAACGGAGAATGAACAAACATACAGGTCAATGACAAATACATCACAGCACTTACTCACACCAAGATAGACATCTGGTCGACCTGACAGCAACCTTACCCAACAACAACCGGAAATGACAGCACCCGTCCGATCCCCATACTTCCTGCGATTCAAAATTCCCAGATTAAATCCTAATGACACTGGCGACACCCCTCCAGGGAGGAGACGTGCAACTACTGACTCGGTCTTCAGGCCCACCGAAACTGTCTGCCACTCGTCTGCTCGAAATATCTTCCTTCTTCTAGCCCTTTAGGGCCAGTTACGCGCTCAGCAGCACTTAACGCCGCAATCAGGAGGAAGAACAGTGCACATAACTAATTTCTCCAGTTCGAGGCAAAGACTGAAAGTTTGTGCTATGATCGGCAACACTGCGTCGCTTTGCAGCCCTTCCACGAACCGGAGATTTAGGCTTTCCCGGCCACTGGTCTTCCCCGCGTATAGTGATCTCATCTCTGCTTTGAAAATCTGTAGGCAACGCAGGAATCAAAATGCACAATTTTCTTTCTTCTCTTCCCATCCAAATCGCCTTTATCATTGGAGAAGCACCGTCTATAAGCCCTGCTATTCCTCCGCGTTTCTATCTTATTCCTTTTCCTTCCCCCATTTTCTGCATTTCACCTCAAAGTACTTAATGCGTGTTATATCGCAGAAGAAACCTCTGTCCCACTACGAGTGAGAATTCTGCCTACTCAGCGTGCGATAACGACGTCGCTCAGCCCCTGCACTAACGCAACCCGCTTGAACGCAAAGCACAGTGACCGAGTCCAGCAGTAGCTGCCAACGCCACGCGCCGAGAGCGACAAGCAGCGTCACAACACAGTCAGTACTTCCTTGCAGCGTAAGGTGTCTTTCGGTGCGTGGGCGCGCTCTAAGCGTACGAGTGGTCTACAAATGTTCCCGCACTGTTGTTAGCTTTCTATTTTTTTTTTTTCAGTATCAATTGGAATTCTTCTCATTGAGGAGCGCATGTTCCTTAAGTCCCTTTGCGTATTTTTTTTCACTCATTTCTGCATTTTCTAACTCCCTCTACCCTTGGATCAGATTGATGCGCATCCAAGCACACTCGCCGCGGTCGGGCAGGTGTCGAAGGCAGCCCTATGATGGGGAGGAGACGTTGATTGAATCATATCTCTCACGAGCAGGCTGCCGGTAATGGCCCGAGCGTATGGGTCTCCTCTGCGATAGCTCTATGCGAGGATCTGACCGACCGCGTTAGCGATCGCAAACCTATGACGGTGAGGAAACGTTGATAGAACCATCTTTCCCACTAGCAGGCTGCAGCATATGTGCCCTCGCCAATGGGCTCCAAAGGCCTCAATATTTTTTTCTGTTTTTTTTTTTTTCTCTCCTTGCAAACAAGAGCAGTTTTGGCGAATTTTTTATCCTCTCTTTTGTTCTATATGATGTAAATTATTGCCCGTCTTTCATTTTGTATGTATTAGTTGCTTTTTAAATTTAGTTTTGTTTATATTCTCCATAGAGCGTCGGGCAATTTTAATATCATTAGCTTCTAAATCTTTATACCAAAAGGGTGCTACCCTCAGTCTAAAAGAATTTTCTCAAAGCAATGGACTTAACAAAAAGGATTGTTTAATTTAGCTAAACCTGGGCGATACATTATTATTGTTCCTACATGAGTAAATTGATCTTTCATAACATTCAGTAATGTGGCAGTCAAAGACATTAGCAAATATGCTGGTATTGCATAACCTCTGATTAGTAACTTTTACTAAATTCATTAACTGTTAAGTATAATGTCGTGCGTAATGCATGGGCATACATATTATGTATATATTAAACAAATTCCGCGGTAGCGCGGCCCTTTCTCCGGGAAGAGGGTGGTGTCCCGACATGGCATTCCAGCCCTCGCGACACACTGCCGCCGGTGAATTGTCGCTTGCCGACGTCAGCGTTCCGAGGCTATAAAATGGCTAGGGTTTCACACCTCCTCTCTCCTTGAATTACCACCCGTGAGGCCGGCGGTACTCATTGCGCCGCCACCAACTCTCAGGACGAAGGGTTCACTACCCGCGTAAGTACAATAAACTATATTAACGACGCCGTTTCATTTCCCCCTGCACGAGTTGCTCGGATCCTCACTCCCCCACAACTCGTTACCTTGCATTGTTGTAACGCCTAGTAATATTAGGCATTGGAATGTAGTTACAAATTATGTTTTTAAATCTTTATAACCCTTTGTATATCATACGCTAAGTAAAGACCCCGTTTACCCCCTCCCTTTTCGTGTTCCCCACGTCCAGGAACGGAATTTGTATTTGACTGTTCAGGATTTCAGCCACGACGAACATGTTTACGTTGTGTAGACTATTTTTATTTTCAAGGTTCTATAATTAGAGAATTATTAAATTGAAAATTTTATTATGTAAAAATTGAAACAAATTTCATTAACAATGTAATTCATAAACTAATCAGACTTTGTAAATTTTAGATTAAATTTAAAATTTGACAATAGGCGTGAATTTATCTTGTTTTAATTGGTCGAATTTCACCCGACTGTTATAACAATTGTTCTGCCGATGACCGCACAGGAAAGCCAGCCAAAGAGCAGATGTACCACTCTGGGCCATCAGACATCTGCATTTCTACATGTTTCGGAATGAGTAGGCCAAACAGGTTGCTCTCCACTTCCTCTTCATGCGACTCTTTCTCTTCGTCCGCGACTGTGTCCGAAACCGGAGAGAGGATGAACGTCCGCTGGAGGTCTGGGTTCGACACTCTGAGGCTCAGGAACTGGTCATCGAGCTTCAGCACTTCCAGTTCGTCGTACCCTAGATAAAAGAAAAAATATTACTATCAATTTATGATCACGATGCCAAATTTGTTGCTTTTGACGTCTTCAACAAATTCTTTAATACGACGTCAACGTCTATTCTTTACGAATGCGCAAATTTAAGACTTAGTAGTCTTTAATTTAGACTTAGTAGTCTTTAATTTAGACTTAGTAGTCTTTAATTTAGACTTAGTAGTCTTTAATTTGCGCATTCGTAAAGAATAGACGTTGACGTCGTATTAAAGAATTTGAGGTATGAAACTAAAAGAGGTATGAAACTAAATTAAAGAACAGATTGATCACGTTTAAATTACCAATATACTTTTTACCAAAATTGCAGAACAAATTAACTTATTTAAAGAAGTATTTAATTATATGAATTTTAATAACTTTAACTAATCACTGGTGATGACCGACTGTTTAAAGAGGATTACTTCACTACACGTTCGACGCTAGTGCTTATCATGTAATACATTACTACGAATTTCACTAGATAGATTGTGTAGTATACATTCTCTAGGTTAAATGATAGGAATATCAATGGTAGAGTGTACAACAATTGCCAATTAAAATTCGTGTTTCTACTGGTTTCGATCCCTTCAACATCTTACTAAATTATACGAGTAGTCAATTTCCAAATAGTTCTATTGTAAACTGTAATCTAGGATTCTGTGTATGAAGTATTCGAACTGGCGGTCGAACCTTCTTGCTTCAAATGTGAAGAGTACTAAACCAGTTACAGATGCGCTATTAAATTAAACTGTTTAAGACAATGTGGAATGTCTGCAAACCCTGAAGGAAACCAAAATGAAGAGTTCTGTATAATTAGTTTATTCACCAAGAAGAAACTGAACGATCTCTACTTGGCTTTGGAAAGTTTTCATTGGCCAACTTTTTCCTTTCAACGGTCGTATACCTAGGAATTCTTTTCATAATTTAATTCAATTTGTTTTTATTACATCAGCAATTTTTTAAAATTTGGATTCAATTTATTAATTTCAATAGTAAGAGTGGCCTTTTTGAAGAGCGACCGTTTCAATATACAAATTTCATAAATACTTCGTACAGAAGTAATATCTGCACTATTAATTTCCAATGGGTGCTAAAATGTGAAGAAAACTACAGCTTATTTCATGTACGAGGTGGCTATTGTTTTAATGGATACCATAGAACTCAAATTAAAAAACAATGCATTTCAATTTTGGCTGAAAAATGCAAATTTTTAACCGAATTATTCCACGTATTCTCGTATTGTGCGTACCGTCAAAATTCTCATTCGCGGGGCGTCGCTGTTCGCGACAGCTGACGCTCTGTGGCTACAACGCTTCAAGACAAAACCCCGGCAGCCATTAAGGTAGTATTCTCTAGGTGGGCCACAATGAAGTACCTCCACAAAGTATTATAAATTGAAGTGTTTAAAATCTCTGTTCTTTAAGATGGTAATAAAAAATATCGAATCTTACCGGTCTAACTTTTTTATTAAAAAGTTTAAATTAATACATGCTCTTATATACATATGGAAAAGTAAGATAAGAAAAAGATATATAGTGAAAGTCCCTATTATCTTTTATTGAATTATTAGTAAATTTTTTTAAGCATCAGATAACAAATGTAACATAATTTACCAGGCATTCTTAAGGGTAGTATTCATTACAAAACGACTGCGAAATTCATCGTAACCGACAGTACTGGCTCTCGGACGTACACGGCCTAGGAGTTATGTTGAACAAATCATGCTGTTTTTACTACTGTTTCTTTTGGGGTACGAGAAGAAATCATCGTAACTTACAATGTTGTACCACACCAACCACACATTGTCCGACGATAATAACGGGCGTTCCAAGTCAACCGAGCATATTAGCCAACTTATGGAAATGAAAAATCATGGGAGTCTAAATTTATTAAAAAACCTTGTTTACCTAGAACAACTGTTTAATACTTTTTAATTATTTGGTTATTATTAAATGGCTGCTTATTATTAAAGTATTATAATTAAATAGTTGTTTGACTCGCGACTTCGAATATTTGCTAGACCGTTACATTATGGGACAGCAACCTCTAAATTCCTGGTGTGTAAAGAATAGTTTGGTGTACAATGTTTACTTTACTCTATTATTGCAATATTTGTGAAGCATTAGAATACGTAATATATTGCAGAGATATACGAAAATATTTTATTTTGGTTCTTGAGTAGCGCGTGCTACTTTTTAGAAAATCCATTTTGTTTGGTTTTGCTCAACACCATTTTTAAGAGGTTACTAGTCTTACACTATCAATGCGCTGGGTAAAAGGTCTACACAAACATGTGTAGACCATTTTCCAGTTTGTGTACAAAATTTTAGTTTGTAAAGTACGCACGTTCAGAGATCACTAAATTGTCATTCTCCAATATCATCTGTCCTCGAGGCAAGACATCCCTATATGGTTCTGCTTTCGTCCAAAATACAGTCATCTTTTTCATGTCAGCGGGGTCGAGACACATGTGAAGTTCCGGGCAAAATGCAGTCATCTCGTCTCTCGAGTATGCAGCCACCACTCTCCAAGATCCATGCAACTGTAATAACATTTTAATTTTCACACACCAAATAAAATACTAAATAATTATTGAGATTAAAATTTATTTAGGAAACCCATTGATGATCACTAGCAAACCACTAAGTTATAAAACATAACAAAAATGTAATTGTTAATATTGTTTCTAAATTTTTAAAAACTTAGAAAGCATATCACGATAATCTTTATAAAACGAATAGAGAACTTTTTCTGTAAAATATCGTTGCAAAATTGAATTTCTTATTTTATACACATTTTTAT